AAGCCGTTCGTTGCAGGTATGCTGCGCTCGGAGGAGCGCTCCTGCTCCGACAACAAAGAGCCCTTTGATCCTTTCCATTTGGAGAACTTGAAACAAGAAAGCCAAACTACAAGAAGACCAAGTTGGGTCATAAAAGGGAGAGCAGGAGCACCAAAGTGCTCCGGAGTGTAATTGTAGAAGCAGCAAATGCTTTGGCACTTAATTCTGCTTTAGTGTCAGTTCAACATGTTTTACGTTTAATACTGAGGAGCCCGTCACCAAATGCTCTGCACAAACAAACCATGGCTGCTCCTTGCTCAGCTCAGGGTACTGGGAGAGCCCCTGGTTCCAGTGCAGCTCCTGCAGCTCCGCTGCCTTCAGCTGCTCACGGGGTGGAATTGGCTCGTGGTGTAGCAACAGTCCCATGCTCCAGAGATCTCTTTCTGGATGGGAAGCCTTGGCCAGCTGCTGCCACTCCAACCCTGCTCGGGGACTGGGAGGGCTCAAGTCCATCGTATTGTCACAGAATCACAGAATCACAGAATGTTAGGGGTTGGAAGGGACCTCTGAAGATCGTCTAGTCCAACCTTCATCCCAGCATATCTAACCACTATACCACAGCCTCAAGTGCTAGATCTACTTTTTTTTTAAACACCTCCAGGGTTGGTGACTCCACCACATCTCGCTGTGCCCAGAGCTGGTCCCTCGCTGCTGTTCCCAGGAGATGCTCCATTGGAGCCAGCACTTCGTGCTGCGCCGGCGCAGCTGGGCTTTCCCTCCTGTCTCCGCAAACCTAGGTGATACCCATGGGGTTTCTGGGGAAGGTGGCATTGAGATCAGGCGTTTCAGAAGGAATTTATCAGAATTCTAGCTAACGGCCACCACGTCTTCCCATGCCTATATGGGGAGATGGCAGGTGCGGGTTTAAACAAACAAAAAAATGCTCTGAATTCTTTCTCTGCAAAGGACTGAGCTGCAGGTTGTCCCCTCCAACCTGAGCTGTCTTGTTGGAGTTACAGGGAGGCACTGGGAGCTTGGCTGGAGATGCTGCCTGTGAGATGGTGGTGAGCAAATTGCAGGAGCAGCTCCCAAGGACATGCGGGACACCCTGGGGACCAAGAAGCCCTCTCACCCCTCCTGCTCTATGGGGCTGAGGGAGACGTGGGGCTGGGAGCGTGCATCCTCCCCAACCACCAGGCCCTTCTCGCGCTGCTCCCAGGCTTTTCAGCAACTCTTCTTTTATTTAAAGAATCAATTCAAAATGCAAACCTCCACGATTTGAAGAGGGAGCGCTCTGCCAGGATGCACCTTGCAGAGCGCTCCTTGCAAGTGCGGCTTGGCAGCATCTCCTGGCTGACACCAGCAGCGGAGGGTGCAGCCCCGTGTCGGCAGCGAGCGTTTGCACGGGGAGCTCCTGGGGAAGGGACGAGCGGGTGGCCAGAGGAGAGAGCAATGCTCAGCCAAAGCTGGCTCCCTTTTCTCTACCATCCCTCTCTCTTTAGAGGAGCAAGGGGATGGGTGACAGACCCGATGAGTGTTTTCCTGTTGTTTAAATAGGGTCGTGATTAAGTGATGAGCATCTGGTGAAAACAAGGTGACACTTAAAAATTATTGAGAACCCTTATAAATTGCTTTTGCCCCTAATACGTTACCACAGGTCCAGTTCTCTGTGATGTATGTAACATGTACTAGCGATTTATTCTATTTGAGGTTATAACAGATGCTGTAAAATCATCTTGTGAGTATCTGAAGATCATTTGTCTGTCTCTGACGTGTCTTAGCATGGACAGGAATGCTCTGTTTGGGGAAGTGAGAGTCCTTATCCTGATTTATCTCAAGATGCTTGTAAGTGTTACTGCAATTTCATGTTATCAAATCATTTAGCTCTTCCTCTTCCAGAGCGAAGTTATTTTATCTCATGCACCTTGTTTACTTCAAATTAGCCCTGAGGTTGGCCTGAAGTTGCGCCTTGTTATTCCTCCACCTCCTGTCTCAGGCTCTGTTGGCAAATTTGAAGGTACAAGTAAATACTTTTTTGTTATTAATAGAATAACTTCCCCCTCCTACACACACATTTTCTTTTCATTCCAGTCTTCGTTTTCCATGAGAAACTGACAATGCAGCACAAGCGGAAACCTCCCAAATTGCATGAAAACGCCTTATTTCTCCTAGCAACAAGGTCAGGGCTCAAATCCAGCACCTTTCCACGAGCGTAGGGAAAACAGCCCTTCCAATTACCTGCTCCCCCTGCGCTACGGATCCGGTCGGTTCATCAGCACCTGGGTTTGGGTGGATTTGAAACTCAGCCACAGTATTGTTTAAAAATGCTCCATTCATTGGGGAAGGGTTTGTAGTGGGCTGAGCCCTGAGAAACCTGGGGCCGGTTTTATGGCTTCCCATTGAAACCTGGTGGAACCCCGTGGTGTCGGCTGATTTCCCCCTTTCCCACTCATGTGGCTTTGATCAAACCCAGGGCTCGGAGAATGACCAACCCACCCCCCCCAGGAACTGGAACCACTGAGCTTTGCCCAGTTCTGCCATTCATTAAAGCGTTTGTGAACTTCCAGTTGTAGATGATAAAATTTTAGGACCTTTGTGCCTAACTTGGGATGGAGATTTTGGTCATATGGCAGACCTTGTTTTGCCCCAGTGTAGGGAACATAGACCCTGTTTGACATAGAAGCTGCCACAATCTCCTGTCCCCTCTTAATGAGACCTACCCATGGTAATGAAACCCTTTAGGCAGGTTGGTGCATTAATGATTTTAGGATAAACATCAGATACTGTTGCACAGATTGAGCTGAAGCTCTGCTAAAGGTGTTAAGCCACAGAGAGATGGTTGGTCCTGGAGACTGGCGATGCTGAAGCTTTTCCCCTGTTGTTGCTTGCTTGACTCCAGCTTGGGTTGTTGTGCCTGACAGTTTCCAGCTCGGTTTGTAGCTTATGGGTGGTTGTTTGGAGGTCAGAGGGGCAGCGAAGCCTGAGCCAGTTTGGCCCAAGGAGTTTCCCTCCTGTCCTGTGATCCCAAACTGCACCAAACTCTGTGACTGCCCAGGACTTTTTAAGAAGCCTTTGGGAAAGAGCAGGCTGACCTGGCCCTGGGAAAGGGTGGAAAGCATGTGGGACTGGCCTCCTCGCCCCAGCCGTCATGCCCAGAGGAGCCTCTGAGCAGAGCCACTGCAGTCAGGGACCAACCAGATACTTGTGGTCACGCTGCCGTGGCTGTCCTGTCCCACCCAGGGATGGGACAGGCGAACTGGCTGAAGCCAGAGGGTCTGATGCTGTTTGTTTTGGATGGGGAAGGTTTAATGGTAAGCATGGCAGCAAGCGCAGGCCTTCAGTACTGAGGGACTCGTTGTCTGACTTCAGTAGAGAGTTGAATTGAGCTAATACTGTGATGGAAATACTTCCTTTGGCTTTGCTGAGCCTTAGATTTAGTTTTCCGTGATGTTCCATACTGTACTTATGCCTGTCTGGCATCCATAGAACACCCAGAGCTGAGACCACAGCCAGGGCTGAAATGAGCCCATATCTCCTCCCTAATACCTTTCTGATGCGTAAAACATCGTGCCAGTACACGTGATGATGTGCGATGTTCTAGGTGCAGCACCAGTAACTCAGCAGTTAAAGGGCAAAGCGTGTCTTCTGGTGGAAGATTATAGGCAAGAAGAATTTCTTGTGTTTCGGTGGAGGTAAAGATGCTGTTGTGTGATGCTGCAACTCCCTCCAGTGCTGTGTGTGCTGTGTAAGTTAGAGTCCCGAATCCAGCCTGAGATCCATGTGCTGCTGTGTTCTAAGTCCATTTCTGGGTCTGTTAGTCTGGATTGCCAAGCTGAGCTGGATCCTTTTTGCTAAAATCTTGAACCAGCACCTGCATCAGGGAAGGAGTCCCAGCAGGGCAGGTGTTTCGCTGGGGAGCAGCGCTCGTGCTCGGAAGCTACTGGCCTCCAGTTCTGTGCTAATGTCTGGGAGGGGTTTTGGGACATGGCTTCCTAAGCCCGGCCCTGGAACTTTAGGTGACTGCTTTGAGGCTAAGACTGAAATGTTGGGAAGTGGGAAGGACCATGTCTCCACTGCCACCAGAAACGAAACCCTCTTCCAAATGAAAATCTGCCCTGTGCAAGGAGGGGCGTGAAATTGCGTACTTGCCTCTGGTGGTGGAGCCGGGCTGGGTCCAGTGGCTGAGGACACTGCTGCCCCGTCGTCCCCGAGATGCGGTGGATGCTGACGGGACTCTGTCCCATCCAGGGAGCCGCTCTGGCGTGGGAGGACCCTTCCTGCTGCTGCTCTTGCTTGGGAATCTGAGTCAGAGCCAAGCCTGGGGTGAGCAGTTTGGCTCCCAATTAAACTTTGGGGTTCTCCGGGGTCCCAGGGACTGGAGGGGGAACATTCCTGATCCCCACACCCCTCTGACTGGTCCCTGGAGCTCCACACCTGGGTTAGGTGCCCAAGAGGCTGTGGGGAAGAGTTGTCGAAGCGCTTGGGGAGGCTTAGAGCAAGGCTTGTAGTGATTTTAGTGGGCTTTGGGTAGTTATAGACGCAAGCCCATTGGGTATTTCAGAAAACATCAGAGGTGAGCAATTGAAGGGGAAACGCTGTTGATTGGCCCATGTGAGATTCTGATTTTTGCATTTTTTCTGATTAAATGTGTTGTTTCTCTGGCACAAGTTCAATTTGTCCCCCTTTCCTAATGGAAAAAGTCTTGCTTTGCTTGCAGTTGAAGGAGCTGGACTGGGTAAACTTAACTGTTGTCTTTGAAAAATCTTTCTCTCCTTGGGTAGGAGTGTTTAAAAAGGATGAAATTATGACCTCATGCTTTCATGCTCTTTTTTTTTTTTGTAATCATTTCTGTTTCAGCTGATGTTTGTTACTGTTGCTGTTAACAAAGTTTGAACCAAAAACAAGGTCCAGATGTGATGATTTCATTGATGCCAAATTGGGTTTTGGTGACTGAACATGCTCTTGGATAATGATTTTTTTTATTTTTATTTTTTTATTTTTTTTATTTCTTTCCTTTTTAGCCTGATGGCACCAGCAAGGAGTGTGTCTTCATTGAAAAAGTCCTAGAAAACAACTACACGGCACTGATGTCAGCAAAATACTCGGGCTGGTACGTTGGATTCACCAAAAAAGGGAGACCACGAAAGGGGCCCAAGACCCGGGAAAACCAGCAAGACGTACATTTTATGAAGAGGTACCCAAAGGGGCAAGTGGAGATACAGAAACCTTTCAAGTACACAACAGTCACCAAGAGGACTAAGAGAATACGACCCACCAACCCCAGTTAAAAATAGACAAAAACAGTGTCACAGTAATAAACCACAAAAAGAAAAAAAAAACTGCACCAGAGGAATATTTTTGCATTAAAAATAAGGAAGAAGCTCTATTTTTGTACATTGTGTTTAAAAAAAAAATAAAAATAAAAAAAATTAATAAAAGACTAGATGGCAAACGCTGGGGAAAAGCTGTTAGGGATTTATTGTGACTTGAAAAACAAAATGAACTGCTCTATTTAAATTGACTTCTTGTTGTTGATGACACACAGGTGCTTATTTTGCTTTTTTGGAAAGGACAACTTTTCAAGCATATCCCCAGAGGAGGAAACAAAAAAAAGTAATTATTAAAAATAAATAAATAAATAAAACCAAAGAAAACCAAAGTTCTTTCCCAAAGTTACTGAGACCCTGCCCCGAAAAGTGCCGGTTTTGCAGTAATCTATTTATTGTCTGCTGCACGCTGGCCCGAGACAAGATGGTGTGTGCCGCAGTGATTGAGTTTCCGTGGAGTTCTCAACGCATCGATCTTCTGTAACCTTTCTGACGACATAAGGTGTCACGGCTCCGTGATCCTGCATTATGCTCAGTTCTGGAGAATGCTGCTAAATACATTCAAGTGACTACAAGATGACCTAGTACACCAATGATAAGGGAAT